GTCACAGCCTAAGAACACTGCCGAGGCAGGAGTGTGAGAGTAATATGAAAGGAAAAACAGAGGAAGGAGATCTATAGCGACCTGAGCAAGCTAGTTGGCCTCAGTTTCCTTTGATGTCAATTACAAACATTAACACAACTCATCTCCTGCAGCGAAGAGTAAGATGTTAAGGATAGATAGACATCATGGAGCCTGGTGGGCTGTCACGGCTGTTCAAAGGCATTGGTGTGAAAATGGTAGGTGCTTAGAAGGCACAGTAAAGCTTTCCACAAAGCCAGGCCTGGAATGGGGGAGGGGAGCAGACAATTATGCAAAAGTTGTCAGACAGAGGTAGGAAAAAGTCACCTCTTTTGCCCCCTGGGACAAACATGTAGAATTTAAAGAAGGCAGATTGTGACTCCATCAAGGAAATGCTTCTGATAATAGATCTCAGGATTCCTTAAGCTCTAGATTGCTACCTTATAAACTTAATGGAGCATTCATATTGTTCAACTCTAAACATAAAAATAACAAACACACAAAGACATTACAGGCTATTGACTGGCCATACAACAAAAGGCATTAATGATCTGGGTTGGCCGAGGTGGGGATGGTGCAGAAAGTGTGCTCTGGAGTTCGGTGTCCTATCATCTAATGTGGCTGACATTTATGCACTACACTGTGTCCTAGTTAGGGCTTCCATCACTCTGATGAAACACCACAGCCAAAAGCAACTTGGGGAGAAAAGGTTTATTTTATCTTAGCCTGTACTCTACCATCCAGAGAAGTCAGGACAGGAATTCCAGATAAGAATCTGGATACAGGAGCTGATGTGGAGGCCATGGAAGGTGTCACTTACTGGCTTGTTGCTCTCTTTTTTGCAAAGTTTGCTTTTTTACAGCATCCCAGGGATGGTACCACTCACAGGGAGCTAGGAACTCCCCCATCAATCTTCAGTCAAGGAATTGCACCACAGGCTTGCCCACAAGCCATTCTGGTGGGGGCATTTTCTCAATTGAGGTTTCCTCTTCCAAAATGACTGTAGCTTGTGTCAAGTTGTCATAAAACTAGCCATTATATTCTGCCTTCCTTAATTCCTACATATCGATCTTATGGAGAAAGAAAAGTTCTATATATCTTTTACATGGCACTGATAGAGATTTACCTTTGAATTCTCAATATCTGGGTAGTCGAAGTGATGGTCTGATTGATGTTGATTATGTTACCCCACAATGAAAGGGCCAAGTTTATCCTTCAGAAGCAAAGGGCGCAGCTCTTACAAATGCCATGGAAAGACTGAGTGTGGCTGTTTGCTGTCTTTCCTATGCATCTGGCATGAAGAACAGTGACGTATTCAGTATCCGAATAGTTGTTTACACAGAAGGGCAACATGCCTCATTTGTGGTCTTTCCATATATAACTGTAGGAGTGATTATTTAAAACATGTATTTTATAAAACCATATGTCTAACTTGTCAGGTATGGGGAATAGCCCTAGCAGGAGCCTATAATCTTCTTTTTACACTAGTTGACAGTTTAACATATATGTAAATGAGATTTCTAAAATACTAAGATTTACTTTTCATTTCTTAGAGTATTTTTGTTTTATTGGCCTTGGGTCTTTTAATTTCTTGGGAGACCAATTCTTTATGTGTGTGTGTGTGTGTGTGTGTGTGTGTGTGTGTGGCTGATTCATAGAGTGTAGTTTACAGGCCTTGACATTTATTAAGTCCTGCCAAAATGTGAATGTAAAAACCACTGGGAAAGACCAGTAAACAGAAAGTGAAGTTTGCCATGATAGGAAAGACATGAAAATTAAGTGTTCATTGATGGAAGGATAAAGAAATGTGATACATATTATTATGGACTATCCTTCATCTTAAAATAGAAAGCAATTTTACCATGCATTTTGACATGGAAAGCCCAGAGGACATTATATAATGATATAGATAACCCAGAGGACATTGTGTAAGAGAAATGAACTAGTCACAGAACAAATACGTCATGATTCCACTTACATGATGCAACCGAAACAGTTGACACAGAAGCAGATAGGAGAGGTAGTGGCTGGGGGAGGGGAACATGAGCTGCTCTCTGGGGTTCAGAGTTTTATTGAGGCAAGATAAATAAATTATAGGAATTTCCTATATGAAATTATGTCTCAAGTAAACAATAGTGTGTGGAACACTTACAGATTGTGGACAAAGGCCTGGGAGATGTCTCAGTTGATAAAGTGCTTGCTAGGAAACACAAAGACCAGAGTTGGGATTTTTCTGAACCCACAGAAAAGCCCAGTCATTTAAGCATTAAAGATAGGGAATCCCTGTGCGATGCTAGTAACTAGACTAGCCTGAGTTAGCAAGCTCCAAGTCTAGTGAAAGACTTTGTTTCAATAAAGAAAGTGGAGAATAATCCAGAAAGACCCCCAACACATGCCAACATAGAAGCACATCTGCCACATACATGAATTGCAAAAATATTGTGAAGAAAGTAGATCTCACACATTCTTGGGAAAATTAAAAATCATAACAATTTATGCCACCTATTATAAGGTGTTTTAAGACAATACAACACATTCTAATCTGATGAAATAAGCTCTCATCTATCCTTTAAAAATTGTGTCATCAAAAGAACAGAGTCCAATAAAAAATGTAATACAGCCCTAAACATAAAACTCTAAACAGAGGAATCTAAAATGGCTGAAAGACACTTAAGGGAATGCTCAGCATCCTTAGTTACCAGAGAAATGCTAATCAAAACAACTCTGAGAATCCATCTTACACCTGTAAGAATGGCCAAGATCATAAACACTGATGACAGTTTATGCTGGAGAGGATGTGGGATAAAGGGAACACTCCTGCATTGCTGGTTGGAATGCAAGCTGGTACAGCCCCTTTGGATGTCAGTGTGGCAATTTCTCAGAAAATTAGGAAACAACCTTCCTCAAGACCCAGCAATGCCACTTTTGGGTATATATCCAAAGGATGCTCAATTGTGCTACAAGGACATGTGCTCAAATATGTCCATAGCAGCTTTGTTTATCATAGCCAGAACCTGGAAACAACCTAAATGCCCCTCGACGGAAGAATGGATAAGGAAAATGTGGTACATTTACACAATGGAGTACTACACAGCAGAAAAAAATAACTACGTCTTGAATTTTGCAGGAAAATGAATGGAGCTAGAAAACATCATTTGAGTGAGGTAACTCAGACACAGAAAGACAATTATCACATGTACTCACTCAAAAGTGGATTTTAAACATAGGCAAAGAAAACCAGCCCACAAACCCAGAGAACCTAGACAACAAGGAGGACAGTAAGAGAGACATACATAGATCTAATCTACATGGGAAGTAGAACAAGACAAGATCTTCTGAGTAAATTGGGAGCATGGGGACCTTGGGAGAGGGTTGAAGCGGAGGGGAAAGAAAGGGAGGGGAGCAGAGAAAAATGTAGAGATCAATAAGAATCAATTTTTAAAAAAGCAAAAAAAAAAAAAAGACTATCAATTTACTTTCCCAAACTATTACATAGTTTGGAAAATATTGTTTTAAAATAACAGCTTCTGCATGTTGGGGAATTACTATGTAGAATGCAGTATGCCAAGTTCCCCGTATACAATATCACACCTGCCGAGAAACTCTCAAAGGTGATTGTTATTAACCCTATATTAGAGATGAAGAAACAAAGTTCGGGGATACACATAATAACACCTTCAAAGAAGCTGTGATCTGATTGGTCTCCTTCCCATCCATCTTAAGGCCACTTGTAGATAGCCTTCCTTCTCACTTCTATTCTGTGGTACACTTTCAGATTTCAATTTATGTGTCCTATCAACAGTATTTGAAGTTGTGTTTCCTATCCTCCTATGATTTTCTCTCCTGGGTTTTAGTATACCACATTTCCTGGATTTTCCTCTCCTTTTGGAGATATCAGTGCCAGCCAGTTTGCTTGACTGGTTCTTCTTTTGAATGGAAAATCTGCACAAGCTCAATTCTTGGGTTTCCTCCATCCATGTTGACTTCCCTGTCTATTGGCTACAATAATCATCTGTAAGCTGGTCACTTTTAGGTCCAACCAGGACTTTTCTCCTGAGCCTCAAACCCTCTCATCCAATACTCTACCTTTTCAGGTGAATGCCTAGAGACACCTCATACTGAACTGGGATTTTCCTTTGTATGATGTGATTACCATTAATGAATGAAGAAACAGTCTTGGGCCTGTGCAGGGAATAGAGGTAGGGGGAGAAAGCTAGGATGAATGCTGGAAGAAAGAAGGCAAAGGTAGAGAGAAGCCATGGAGCCGCCACCAGAGACAGATGTGCTGAAACTTTGTTGGTAGGCCATAACCTCGTGGTGATGCACAGATTAATGGAGGTAGATTAAATTAATATGTAAGAGTTAGCCAATACAAAACTAGAGCCAATGGGCCAAGCAGTGTTTTAATCAATACAATTTCTGTGTGATTACTTCGGGTATAAGCTAGCCGGGCGACTGGGAACCAAACAAGCAGCCTCCTTACTACAAGGACCCCCAAAATATAGGTAATAAAATTTGGTTAGTATGCTTTCTAAAATTTTTTACAAAGGGAAAAATGCTGCTTGAAATTAAGATAAAGTATATTATGATTGAGAATAATCTTAAAAGATGTTGTACATTTACATTAGGTTAATTTATTTCAAACAACTTCCAATGTTCTGACATGAAAGATAGGTCTTTGGTACCTGGAAGTAATTTAAGGTTGGATGTAGTTAACTGTATCTTAAGTGACAACTTCTCTATCGATGATTTTCAAGAAAAAGGTAGAAAGAACATGTTTTTTTGTATGAAAGTTCTATGTGCATGTATTTAAATAAAAAGATACAAGAAATTGACTGAGTTTAGTCAGGTTTGAAATAGTTTCTTTCTCCTTTCCCTTTCTGTTTAGAAACTAATAAAATATTAGTTTTAGTTAGAAGCTCAAACCCAAGGAGTTAGGGTCTCTGCAACACACACAGAAGAGACTAGCAAGCGCAATGTACCGCTGGGGTCAGACAGGTCTCGGCATCTGTAGATGTTTGTCTCTCTTGCTGAAGAGGCATCTTTTCACTTTCTGGAGGCAGTTCAGGGAACTGCTGGTGGCTTTCAAGATCCTGTCCTGAATGGGGAGCTATCTGAATGGAGAGAGCTGCTGTGTGTGTGTTGGGTCCTGGGCTAGGGGTTGGTGAGCAAGACCTTTTCAGAGATGATGGGACGTCAGTGGGTTGGGAACACTGTGGTGGTTTAAAGGGGGAACCATTCCCTTGGGTCTGATTATGGGTTAGTTTCAAGGTAGAAATTCTTCGGGTTTGAGAATCTTGCATGTAGTCCTCTTGTAGAAACGTGTTAGTGTCTCCGAATGGTGCAGGACTGGAGCTGGGGGATGCTGGTAGTGGGTTAGTGATTTTCTGTGTGTATGACACCGTTCTGTTGGATTCCTCAGAGTACACTATTGTCTGGTTAGAGTCTTCACTAGAAAGCATAGCTCCATGGAGAGGCTTGAGGTTAGCGAAGCTCTCCGTACGCCATGGGCTTTCTGTGTTAGTTACTATTGAATCTAAAATGTCACCCTTTGTTGGATCAGTTATCAAAGACTGGCAAAAGCTCTCTTTCCTGCCTGGTGGAATGGGTGCCTAGATGGCCGAAAGTGTTCAGAAAGAGAAATGACATTGAAGGAAAAACAGAAAGAAAGTCCAAGTTAGACATGAGAAGAACATTGTCAAAGCTACCCCAAAGAAATCCAAACACACACTGTGCCCTGTACAGGCTAGACTGAACAGTTCCCTTCAGTCCTGGAAGAATGCTTTGTGGGTTATTACCAATAGTTTCTTCCAAGTTGGAAAAGCTTTAGTTTAGAATACATTGCAAAGATACTGCTTCTGTCCACAGTTTTAAAACTTATGCTAAAAGTGAACATATGTTATTCTGTCCTATTTTTAGACCTAAAGGTTGACAGTTCATTTAGCCACATGGTTTTTAGAACATTTTGCATGTACAGTTCTTTACTAACATCTCAAAGGCTCAGCATTTGTCTGGTTTATATTCCTGCAGTAGATAATGTATCCTTGACTCTCAAACTCTAGAATCCAAAACACCAGCCATCAGAGCTTTAATAATTAGAATTTATCTTAAACAGTATGGTAGAAGCTGAACTACTTTGATAAGCTGAACCAGAGAATAAAGAGAAAATCAACAACAACAGAAGAAAACCTACCTGTGTTTGAGCTGAAAACTCATGCCCCCTGTTGGACATGTTAATGCCACAAGGGAAACAAAATGAAAAACGCAGAAGCATTTTAAAGCTAGGACACTAGGAACGGGGTCCCTTAGAGGAAGAGCAAACAGAGGTCTAGGCACGAGACACACAGCAGTTCGAATTACCTGGGTTGGTGATTTTTTGTCTTGCAGGTTTGGTCGGACGCTTCTAAAACCTTTTGCTGCAAGAGAGGAATATGTGGCATCTCCGTTCAGTGTCTCTGGATTTCGATCACTGTAAGATCTCCACGCTTTTGTTAAGGGAAAACAAATTGGACACAGGAATATCTACGTTCACTTGAATATTTTTTTGGGGGGGGTGAGAAAATTGATTTGTCTTTTTAAAATCAAAGTGATCTTCATAAGATTTTAATTTAGTATACATAACAATGTATGGAATTTAAATTGAATATGAAATCAATGATGAGGCTATGGATATGTCAAAAGAAAAAAATGTTCTTGGAACAAGCATAATAGTTATTCGCAATATTTTTTTTTCTGTACCTGAGTCTGGAGACTGAGAATCACGCCCTGAAAGGGAAACAATGTTGAAATTAATGCAAGTGTAAACCAAACCAAATCTTCGGTAAAAATGCTTGGCAAACAACCACATGCATTGTTTTTGCTGACATTATCTCAGTCCTAAAATGGAGTACGTTAAATGTCTTAATGAGAGGCTTGGGTGTGATTTTTCAATTTCAATAGACTTATCATTTGTTAAATACCTACAATCTATAACTAGAACATATATCAAACACTAATTTTCACCCTTAATAATATTGCAACCATGTCATTTCAAGATTATTGTGGCCCAAGGTTCCACATGACTTCTGAACATAGAATTAAAGGATTGAAAAAACCTGCTTATCAAACAATGAGTTCTGTTTAGACCATTTAAGGTAGTCACCAGCTCCGTCGCTGGCTGAAGGCCCCTGTAACTCCCTAGATTTAACTGTTATAGTAGACAGTGGCTAATATTTCAATAGCTTGCTTTTTTTTAATATTCACAAAAGGCAAATGTATCTAGTGAGCAAGATCTGGCTTTCATTGTTCTCTATGGTTTAAATTTCTTATTGTCCCTTCAAAGTTCATCCAATTATGAAAGCAGTTATAGTGTATTTCATTGTCTTTTTGCTCAGAAGCCGAGAATAAATCATAGTAAATAATTGGTTTAACCATATACTTATGGTCAGTTGTCTCAGAACTATATATTCAAGAGCCTCCTATATGGCTATCTGGGGGAATCCATTTGCACTATTTTGGTCTACTGGACCTATAAAACCTTGATCTTGGAAAGGATTATGGGAGTTCTTTACTTCACTGCGGTCTAGCTCCTGGATTCCTTTCATTTGTTCCCTGGGACCATGGATAAATTGTTATGAGTCAATAACTTATTGTTTTTTCCCCAAATGCTCCAGGGATACCATTTTAAAATTTACACATATACATTTGGAATGAAGCTTAGTGGGTTGAGAAATGCAAAGTCTTGTTTATAAAATATTGAAGATGGATTTCTTTTTTTCCCTAAATCCAGGGAAGAAAAATAAATGTGAATCAGCTCAGTTGTGTGGAATGACTCTATCATAGGTGAGTTTTAGAAGAGGAACATATTTTCATTCATTATAGATGATCATAAATTAGAATAAAAATGAGTATAATCCAGTAAAAACTAATTTTGTTGAATTATTCATAACGTGTTTTCTGGATTCTACGCCCAGGGTTTAAAGGAGACTGGAGTTCACCATCTCATTCAGTTAAAAGACAATGACTTTTCTAGAGAGCAAACAAATGTAATTTGGGGACGCCCTGCTACCTTTAGAATTCTGCTTTGGGGACATTAAGGAGAGAGACACACTGACCACTATGGTTATATACACTGTGGACATAGAACACATTTGGGGACTTGAGAAAGGATAATGGATAGGGGAGCAGCTTCAGTAATACATACATGCTTTGCAACTGTTTGTTTGAGAATGGGGCATTTGTTTTACTCTTGGCTTGATAAGACCAAGCTAGAAAAGAAAAGCATGAAATATGTGTATGGTGGTGGTGGTGAAGCAATAGGAGCCATGTCTGTGGAGGTGCCAGGGATGTAGATGAGGTAGGGAAGAGAGGTTATAGTGAGCTAATTTGGAGGACACTTGGAATACAAATTCTCTGGTTGACAGTTCTGTTTCCTCCCAATAGTGACCACAATGTGGGGTTACAGAACCCTAAGAAACGTCAAGCGGGAGAAACAGAGGGCAGTTCATCCTGATTCACCCACGGGATCTGACAATGGTAAACTACGGTACTGACAGGCCCATGGATGAAACGCCAAGATGAGGGCATGTTTTAATAAAGCTTGAGGTGATGGGTTTAGCACAGATCCCAAAGAATAATTTAATTCTCTAGTGATGGTGAAACATACATTGTTTTTTCCACGCATGTTATTGTGAAGGCTGCTACACAGCAAGCCTGGGCACAAAGGATCCTGATTCTTTAAAAAGTCTTTGAAGACTTTATGCATCCATGTGTTCAAAGATTTCTCTTAAAGTTTAATCCAAAATTTAAGGGACTGTTAAAAAAAACTTATTTCTAATGACATAAAACAGGCAAGAGCTACTATTTGCTCATATTACTGAAGTATCTAATCAACTAATCAACCTTCCTTTCTCTTGCCCTTGGGTACAAGGAATTGAACCAAAGGGTGGGCACATACTAGGCAAGCGTCTCACCACTGAGCTATACCCATCTCTTGCTCTCATTCTATGGCCTTACATTTTTCCAGGCAGCCTGGAACTCTAAGGAGCTGGAGTCGGAGGTCCAGGCCTTCAGAACTGGAGCTTATTCTTCTCTTCTGACTGTGAAGCATTTAGCCTGTTCCCAACAACTTGAATGGTATGAAATTGCTTATAACACAGTTTGACTCTCAAATGCAATCTCTAGTTCAACCCAAGGCTATCCTTTGTGGGTTATTTTTGTAAGTAATAACAAATACAAATTGTTAACACAGGGAGTCATTCTCTAGCACGTACCTCAGTGGTCACAGCTGAGGTTTTACTTGGTTGTAATGCTCGTGAAATCCATGGTTCAGGCATTCCAATGATATGATATACCTGTTTTTTATTTATTTTACCTTTCATCATTCTCATATCTCATGCACCTAGTGTAAACACATCTATAGCTTTTTTTTTTTTTTTTTTTTGAGACAGGGTTTCTCTGTAGTTTTTGGAGCTTGTCCTGGAACTAGCTCTTGTAGACCAGGCTGGTCTCGAACTCACAAAGATCCGTTTGCCTCTGCCTCCCGAGTGCTGAGATTAAAGGCGTGTGCCACCACCGCCCGGTAATAGCTTTTATAATAGCTCTTCATATTCATACATGCATGGACAAACATATTCCAAGTGTTTTTAAAACCCAAAATGAGATCAGATTACATACATTGCAATGGCTTGAAGGATAACATGAGACTCTTGACTTGATATTTAAATTTGGACCTTGATGTCCATTTGCGAGAAGGTGGAAGTCACCTTCAGAAGTCTGTTTTTCTTTCATAACACTTGGTAGGACATCCTCAGTACCAACTGATCACTAAACGTGTACAGAAGACTAAAACTCAGGCTGAGGTATAAAATTAGTGATGCCTTCACTTTCCTCCTCCTGCAGAATAACTAAGTAATCTTATAAATCAACCCAAGGAAACCCCAGAATGCAACCACATCAACCCGTTAATTAGCCAGTTAACAGGAGCTGTGTACTACTCCTTTAAAGGTCTAGGGACTGGCTGGACACCGGTACATCTTCCATGTTGCACACTCCCCCTGCAGACTCTCCAGATGAAGTCTGTCACAGGTGAAGGTAAGTCATAACAGACATTTAGTGACAAAGGAGCTACCTCAGTGGATGCTGGCATGTCACCCCCTCAACTGCTTTCGTGAGTGTATATTTACCTGTGGGTTCATATTGATCTCAACTGATCAAGGTTTTGATATATTCCAAAGTTCATACTAGAAGTAAGAAGGTCTGTTTTCTGTTTTCAGTTTTTGAGAAGAACCACATTAATCAAGATCTATGTTGACCAAGTCTTTTTTTCCTAACCCTGAATTCTCCGAATATCATGTTGCTTTAGTTCATGAGATAACAAGAACGTAAATAGTTATTAACTCTTGCAGTTAACATATTTTTGGCAAGTGACTGATACTTTTAATTATATTTTTAAATGTTTGTTTTTAACAAGGTATCGGTTTCCTTTGGCTTTTTTATTTTTAGAACAAAACCAGAAAGGATAGAAGCTATTCTTGGAATTAGAAAAAAATAATTGGGGATTTGAAAGGCATTTAAACTGTCTGTTCCCATCCCACCAGGATGACTCTGGAAAGAGGGTGGGAGGTGGAGCCATTTGAGTATCACGCGGTGAGTTAGTGGTGTTATACCTGCAGCCAACAGGTTTGGCGAACTTTGAACTCTCTTCACAGATGTTAACGTGACAGACATGGCCGCACGCTTGCGAGCACACCCACCGCTATCTGGAAGCAAAAAAAAATGAAATAGCAGAGGCCACAGAGAAAGCACATGCAGTGTCATGCATTTTAAAAGTGAGATGTGTCAGACACGCGTGAGAAAGGTGAACAGTCGAGCATTAGTAATCGTGGAATACACCTGCAAATTTTCCTCCCAAACTAAAAGAGAAAATGGGAACAGAAGTGAAAAACCAGGGGTCTGCTCAGAGAAGGCAGCAATGCTTTAACAAAACAAAAGGTCTTACATTTAATTTTCAACACCTTTTACTTAATGATATCCCCGATACAGAGCTCAGTCGTCTTTGCAAAATTGGTATCTAAAGCACACTAGGTTTAGAAACAGCACAGCAAGCTTTTATAGTGAGGGATTATCTGTTTTTCAGCCTAAAGTGTCATGATTATATATGTAAATAGTTGATTAGACTTAATCTATTCTTCTTATGATTACTAAAGATAATCAGGGATGAGTTACCTTGATTCACTAATTCTTGAAGTATTTTTCAGCTGACATAGGCATTACATGCTTCATAAACACACATCATAAGGAATCACACAGCGCTATGCAATTTCATGTCTTCTCTCACTTCTGAAATAGTTATTCTGTTTGAAGTTAAGGACAGCACTGACGTACACAGTGAAATGAGACTGTTTGTTTTTTGTTTTTTTGTTTTTTTTGTTTTTTAAATTTATTTATTTATTAAGGATTTCTGCCTCGTCCCCACAACCGCTTCCCATTTCCCTCCCCCTCCCCCGATCAAGTCCCCCTCCCTCATCTGCTCGAAGAGCAATCAGGGTTCCCTGACCTGTGGGAAGCCCAAGGACTGCCCACCTCTATCTAGGTCTCGTAAGGTGAGACTGTTTGTTTTTTAATGGATGGAATCGCTCTTATACTTTGGAATAATAGTTGTAGCATAATCTGTATCTATATGGAGAAAATCAAAATGTGAAGCAAAATATGGACACACGCGTCAGCCATTTTCCGTGCTATGAGAAGCTGAGAGACTTCTAAATTAGGAAGACAAGCCTCCGAGACCGAAAGGTTAGCTCTCTATTTCTGAACAGAAGTCTGATTCTGCGCCCACATTCCTTGGTAATATAGCATGGACAATAAATAGCTCTCCATCTTCCCCTGCTTGTCAAAGCAGCCTTAGCTCTCCTTTTGAAGGTGACTATACAGAGAGACAAGGCAGATAACCAACAATATGAAAAAATAACTGAGAATATAATTGTTGTATCTTGTCATATGCTTTCTTCATTCTCTATTTCATAGGCAAAAATACCCAGCCTATTAATTAAACACGAGAAAATAGAGATTTAGCATTATGTGTTAATTAGCGGTAAAAATCATAAGAGAGTGAGGTCAGTAGACCACAAAATTGGTGTAACTTTTCTATCATAAAATCTGACTTAAAATTATAACTTTTTAAACAAAGAAATCATTAAACAGGAAAGCTGAGTTGAAACAGAAAATGCAAATAACCTGAAAGAATAATTAAAAATGTATAGCTAGGAACCAGTAGAAAAGACACAAATGGTAGAAAGTTACAGCTGAAGATACCTTCAACAGAACACCAATAGCTATTTTCAATTTGCTAAAGACAGCGTGTCTGATTGGGCACCACATAGGACACAAGATCTAGTCACTAGGTCTAAAATGGATGGGTAGTCAAGGGCGTTGAAAGTGAAAAGTGACGTCACTTTTAGTAGGATTTTATCTCTTAGTGTCTGAAAAGATAACGTCTCAGAACAAGCAGAGCGAGGGACATGGTTCAAGCACAGCCTGTTCACACGGTGCGCTGAGATGCCCTGCACCATCTCCATGAATCCACAAGGCTGTCGGAGAATACTGGAGAATTTTGTGCGTGCAAGGGGTACTTTAGGAAACATTAGACTGAAGTAGTTCAGAGTTTTAGTATGACAGGTTATATTATATTTTGATCACATAGTATTTCTAAGAGCTAGACTATGGAGGGTTGCTCTCTTAAAGAGCAAGTGCCCTAGGAAAGTCATTTTAGATCGGTGAGCAAGAGTAGTTAATATCCAATTTCATTTCCTGGTCTGAAGTCTCAGTGCATGACAGGCACACACATACCACTAAGTAATTGTGGGTACGTTGAAAGTAAATTACTATTTCTCTTTTAATTCACATGTATTATTTTGACAAGTGACTTTTAAATTGGTGGGACATAAATGCTTATTATATTGTTTGCACCAAACTGCTTAATAAATAGAATTATTAGATACTTCATTTAGGCTTAGAAGCAACATGAAAACAAAAAAAATACTCAAGACACTATCACTGTGAGACAAAAAGTATGGAAATCTTTAGGCTCAGTAAATGGAGACTCTTTGCTTGCTAACACTTGGTAAAGGTCTTATTTTTTAAAAGGTGAAACAGACAAACCACTAGAAATTAATATTCTGTTTCTACTTATATATTTATTTTGAAGATGTTTTTAGGGACTCAATATCAGGATGCTGTCTCTGACACATAGCTCATCCCAAAGCAACCAAGTGCTGGCCTTATAGTCATCTACGAACCCCAACCTGGTTGGGTACTCTTACTCCCAATTGTTGTTTCCACTTCTAGATAACAATGCTTTGATGGGTAAACCATAGTCTATGAATTATCTTTCCCCCTTTTAATGATAGTGAACTCTATCATATATGCCTTAGAAAGTAATAGGTCACAATTGTTATGAGTAGAAATAGGTCATAGTGTAGACATTTTAAAATGAAACTTATTCCTTGGATTGCTTGTTATGTAGCTGATTAAAAGTAAAGATTAGACATAAGATAATTTTTTAGACCTTAGTGACTAACAAGTAGGATTTTTTGCTTATTTGTATGAACTGTCCATGTGGGTGCTTCTGGAGGTCAGGGGTCAAGGCTAAGAGAATTCTTGCTTCTCTCTCAATCTTAGAGGCAGGATCTTTCACTGAGCATGGAGCCCGCTGATGATGATTGGCTAACCTGGCCAGGGAACCCCAGGACCCTCCTCCTCCTGCCTCCCAGCACTGACACTCCTGGTGCTTGTTTCACACACAGCTCTTTACCTGGGTGTTTGGGATTATGACTGAGCAGCAAGCAGTTTACCCAACTGAGCCACTGTCTTAGACCTGGCGTATCGAGTTTTAAGAAATATTAAATATCATTAATAATGGATAGGTAAGGTGAGCCAATTTTATTTATTAGTTACTCAGGAATCAATTATTCCTTAATTTTGTAAAAACAGTGACAATAATTTGTCTCCAAAAGCGATTTGTACCTGAAAGTAATCCGTACCTATCTTCTGTCGAAGTATTTGTTGTCTGTGCTTTTTTTAAAGTAGCATGTTTTCAATGCAACATTGTAACTACTTTGGAATTTTAAGTAAAGGGTTTCAACTTATAACTAAATTTGCATGTTTCCATAGGTAAATTTATCCACATAGGCAACCCAATCTTATGCATGTCCGTGCCCGCCCGTCTAGAGTCAAGATCACTCTGCATAAATGAAAGGCTTTATTAACCTGTAGAAATACAGGTTTCTATTTGGGCTGCTCAGAGAGTTAAACTATCTTCCAGTTTCGCTGTGCCTACTTTGCTATTAGGATTCAATTATGGGAATGGGTAGACCAATTGTTAAATAGATTATATATAAGTACAGTATGTTTATTATAATCATATATGCATGTTTCTCATAATGGGAAGATCCTGTTTTGGGAAGCTGTGCAGAACTTCCATCTTCAGAGGAGATACCTCTGAAATAGTGAGTAAGCCCAGCCTCTTAATGTGACCTCTCTGCTGGAGGGACTCTGTGGTTGCATAGCAGGGCTCATGATGGTCCATTTTATATTGTATATGCAATATGAAATGAGAGCCATCACTAGACTGAAGAAGGCAAGCCCATCTCCACCTGTAAAAATGTCTCTACTTGGCTTTTTGAGAGTTCATCAGTTCTTTCTCCAAACACCCTGTCTTGTTCACTGGTCCCAACATTTATCTACATGTGCGCTCAGCCCTTGGGAACCAACGGGCAGTGTTCTCTGAGGTCAGTTTGAGCAGGTTTCAACTCAGAGGATGCCATAGGGAGTGGACCTGGCCCGGGTCTCCACACTTGATCTAGGGATTAAATACTGGCTCTAACCAGCCAGTTGTTTATCCTTCTTCTAGACACTTTGCTGCAAGGAGCTTGACGAGGAAGAAGGGCCTGGACTTTCTTTTTGCTCTGCTAGTGGGCGGCTGGCTAAAACTGCTCTGCAGCCTTGAACTGTGACACAGCCACAGGGTTTCAGTGAGAAACTCGTCTTCTTTACTGACTGCGTGCAGGCATGCTGTGTATGAGACTGTTGACAATGAGGGTTAAGGTGAAGTTACCAGCCAATTATGTCAACTGTGGGACCAAGTGATGGTTTATATATTTACCATTCATTTACACAAACCATTTTACCATTAAAAAGCATACAACACAGGGTTCAGGGGCATTTGTGTTAAAACACTTAAGGATACTGTGTGCAAGTCTAAAAATAACATGTTTATGGCTTTCTGAGTATCATGATAATAAGGAATTAATCAGATTGATTTTGTATGAGGTTTTAGAATTCTATCTGCTGACTTTGTCAACATAAACCGTTTATAAAATGGAAAGTTTAAATACTGTTCACCAGAGCAACTTGCCTTTGGGCCTAGCATACTTTAAGTAAGAGATCTTCAATGTACAAATACAATTTCAAGCAGCTTTAAGAGCTAATTGAAACAAAAAAAAACCATACCAAACCAACCAACCAAACAAATAAAAAACCAGGAACCAAAAATGGCTGAGGTAAGCGCTCAGTTGGTAAAGTGTTTGCCATACAAGTCTGAAAGTTTCAGTTTGGTCCTCAGGATTTACATTAAAAAAAGCTAGCCACAGTGGCATGAGCCTGACAGTTCCAGTAATTACTGGAGATGCAGAGACAGGGGGATACCTGGGACTCACAGGACAGAGTTCCAGGTCAAATCCCTGCCTCAAAATCAAAGTGGATTACTAAACAAGGAATGATACTAAAGATTAACCTGTGTGGTCTACACACACACACACACACACCCTGTATACATGTGTACCTGCTACATGAACACACAAATACACAAAGAAAATATACAATAAAAGATCAGTAATGGCAAGGTAATAAAAATTGAGCGTTGGGTTATGAGATTGGAACATGATGATAAAGCAAAGTAATTCGTCATATACCCAGAAACTTATTTACAATTAATATAAGTGCTATGGTAATGTAGGACCAATGTGGCTTGAAGAGCAAAGCTAACAAGCTAAAGAACAAAAAGCATACCTGTATTCATTTTCACCTGGAAGGGTTTGTTATTAAAGTCTTCAGTTTTCCTGTAAGGAGGAAAAAAAAGAGGATGCAGAATTTGCATACTAAATCATGGAACTGAAGGCTTTGAACGTAGTTTTGGTTTTGGTGTACCTGAGACAGTGGTTCTCAACCTTCCTAGTGCTGTCTCTCTTTGATACGGTTCCTCAGGTTGTGGTGACCCTCAACCATAAAAATTATTTCCATTGCTACTTCATACTTCATAACTAATTTTGCTGTCATTACAAATCATAACCTAAATATCTGTTTCCTGGTGGTCTTAGATGACCCTTGGGAAGGAATCATTGAACTCCCAAAGGGGTTGCGACTCACGGGTGGGAATTGCTGACTTACAAGTTAATACTACATTATCATTAATCTTTTTGTCTTATGATAATAAAGCTCTATTTTTATTTAATGGTGATCACTAATGGTTGAAAATAGAGACCTTCCTTCCTTTCTGTCTGAATTTGTTTCTTTCTTTGCTGTAGACTAAACCCAGCCTCATGCAAACCTAGAATGTGTTCTACACAGTGAATTATATACACAGCCTAAAATTTCATTTTAAGATGTCTAATTTTGATGCCTAACCTCTGTGAGGCCTCATGATCCAAACTCAGCACACAAAGGGAGTTTTTTTCTTAAATATGTGATTGATTTTTCGTTAACCCTACAAAGAATTCACTGTTATGTATCATTTTCCAGTATTTCAAAAACTTATGCTAGTATCTTGAAGTCATTGCCTTATACATGTGGGTCACTTTTCATAGTGATGCACTTTTAAGAAGTCATTTTATCATATTTTACCTTTTAGTTTTCAATGTATACAAGCAAAGAAGCTCTTTTCTGGCTGAAAACTCTGGCATGTTTCTAAACACTGGACTTGGCAGCCTTAACATGTAGGGTAAGGATGCCAATGGACCCAAGGGAGAAGGCAGTGCTCCGTTCAGGAGCTTTGAGAATGTTCCTCTCAACGTATTTATTTTAATCTCTCAGTAGCAAAACTTTCAATTTGTTCCCCTTACATGGACAAAGTAAATGGAAAAGTTGCCTCAAGGGATGTCTGTGACCACGGCTGAAGCAGCTTCTAAAACAAGAAGGGATAAACAATCCAAGAACAGGAGGATTGTAAGGACATTTCCCAAAGTTGACCTCACTGTGCCTTCTGAAACAAGGTGTAGCATATTGTGCTGAAGACTAAATCAGGTTTGTAAAGGGGGATGAGGAAGGGAGTGTTCACACCAGAATAATACTGACTGATGAGGAAGGCAGTGTTCACACCAGAATAATACTGACTGATAAAGAAGGCAGTGTTCACACCAGAATAATACTGACTATGGAAGGTAGGCTGATTCTCAGATCATAAAACCGCTAATGTATGAAATAATATTTCTTCACCGAGCAGAGAATTAACACCAACATGTATTATTAGAATTCAATGCAGATATTTGCTAAACATTGGACTCTCAGACAGCAAGGGAGGATTAAGTAGAACAAAGGAAGGCGCCACAGAACCCTGGGCTGCTCAATTTTAAAGTGATGTATCCTGTTACTTCTAAGGGTAATTTGTTAGTTTTTTAAACATTATATTGTTTTAGTTGTCAAAACGTTAAATGACTAACTTCCTAATCATGCAAGACATTTTTTGAGGTTCTTAAAGATGAGCCCTGGTATTTGCATGCTTAAGAACAACCTGAAACCTGAAGGCTTCTTGGGTGACTAATAAAAATGCACAATCCGGTCTCCCTTGTTTGCACAAAAGACATGAACAATTCCACCACTGACAACTCTTGAAGCAATTTAAGCTACAGAGAATCCAATCTCTTTTGTTCTCCTCTGAAAAGAATTGTCTCTGACTGCACTTGCATAACGAGCATAGATTATTCTGGAAGGCATCACATTCTTGGAGTGTTTGCATGCTGCTAGAAGACAGCACTTCAAGTATTTTCTTAAATTGGAATTGAACCAGGGCCAAAGCTATGACAATGGACCATAAAATATAAATCATTTACCCAAAGTAGGCAAGTCCAGAGAACAAAGATCCTAGTGCATCGACGGGTCAAAATCATTTTTCATAGGTTGTACAGGGCCATATTTACTTAAACCAGTTCTTTACAAAGTTGACAGAAAAGGCAACATTATACCAATTCAAGATATGCATGGCAATAAGTTTGTTTTCCTTAGAGATCTCCAGTATTTGTATGCCAATGGATTGTATTGGTTGATACTCCAGCAATGACATGACGTCATGCTGAAATCTTTTAATTGTACCGACTGTCTTTCCATTATCGATACCTCATTGCTGTTTTGTGGAGCAGAGGGGCCTTTGTTTTCAACATGCATGGAAGGATAGACTGTGCAATATTTCTTCTGATTAGGGACCTATTCTAAGGGGTTTGACCACATATTCATGCAACTATGGTCACAGATTTATAATTATGCTTCAGTTTATAATTTATCATCATACTCAGTCATGCATTCTGAAGAACAGCAGAAACAGCATCTCTTCTCCAATTTTAGCCAAGAATTCTGTGTAAGTCATGTGATTTTGGCAGAGCTGAGTATAAACATCAAGGCCATAGGTCAAGTGAGAGAGTCAAACAAGCAGAAATTTAAGGTGAGGCACGGATCTAAATTTTTTTCCATGGATTAATTTTAACCACTCAAATTGATATAGCTATTTTGAAGGAATATATCAGTGTTTTGCTTATTATTTAAATGTAAGTACATGGATTGTCTACACAGGGAGAAAACACTGTGGATGTTAGATTGCTTAGAGATGTATTTTAAACATGAGGACGATATGCTATGCACTAAGGATCTAGAGCAGATTCCAACTTGAGTTTTTTGTGTGCTTTGAAATGGCCTCTTTTGTGCCCTAAGTGATCAATGCATTTCCCTTTCTCTGTCTGTGGCGAGATAAGAAGTATTCAAAATTGCCAAATCAGTTAGCAAATGATTTAGCCAAATGACTTAATTCAGGTTGACATTTAGCATCACTTATCCGTGGGAATATGTCAGCATGCTGCCTTGAAATGTTTACACGAAAATGCCAATCAGTTCATTTTGTTCTTTATACTTCCCGAGTTTTGAAAACAAAAATACACCTCAGATCCCTTTCTGAATGCATCCTCCGAATTGTTCCCCATGTATGAGACATCAACTCCTCTGTCTCCAGGTGGGCGGTACAAAACTCATCACTGTCGATATATGGGGAAGATGTCCCGAGCATAGGAATGCTACCACCCACTATTACTGAGCTAATGAACTTTGAGGATGGGCTCACAGGAGAAGGCAAATTGGGCAGTGCAGTGGAGGGGTCAGTGCATTCAACTTCATTATTTAGGAATGAAGAGAAGTAATTACAAGAATTAAAGAAACAAAAAAAGGTCACAGAGCCACTCATGACTCTTACATGAACATATATCATTCTTTTAAATCGCCTGGTATCTGGGGGGAAAATTTGAAAAAAGATTACGGGCGGAAGGAATTCTGTAATTATTCTTTTGGGGATGTTACCACGTGAACTACTCAAAACACTTACAGATTTTCCAAAACAGCCTTTTTTCCCTAAAGCCATGATAGAGAAAGAAATCTTTACCAGACAGGTAAGACTGTCTGGTATTTTCACCATTCTTCAAAGGCAGTCATAGGGATTGAGGAGATGGCTCTGTTGGCAAACTCTTCACTGCATAAGCATTCGCCTGAGTGTGGATCCCTGGCACCTGTAGTAAGGCGAGGTGCAATGACACCCCAGTAAATGCTGAGGCTTCCGGTTAGTCAGTGTTGCCTACTGATGAAATCTAGATTCAGTGAGATCCCGACCTAATAATTAAGGCTGAGGGTAACTGAAGATGATGTCCACATTAACCTTTGGTCTCCATAGACAGGTGTGCATAGCACACCAGTACACGCATGTGCACACATGCTTATATAAGTATATGCACCCTACACAAACATGAAGTCAGCACAACACTCTAAATGAATGTTATTCTTATTGTGTATGGTCACATAAATATTGTTCTAGCATCCTACCTACCCAATTACATTTACTTTTATAATCCTTACAGATAATTAAAATATACCTCTAAGTGCCTGAATTGCATATTTTTTTTCACTAAGATAGTCATTCAATTTTACAGTACGGTACCAGGAAAACTACATGGGATTATGCTGCAGAGTCAAAAGTCAAATGTATTCTTTATGAAAATGAAGATAAGCCAGGCACAAAACGACTGTATACAGTGAATTAGAACAGTCCCACAACTGAACAGTGTTGAAAGGATGGTGCTGTGGATGTATACGAAATATAGTTTGTGCCTCCTAGAGCTTTCTATGTGAGATTTGGTTGCCGCTGGCAGAAACTTTTACTATGGTATTTAGAAGTGGGTCTTTGTGAAGTGATTAGAATTAAATAAAGATAGAGCCCACGCAATTGAATCCTGATGGCTTCGGAAGGAGAAGGAAACAGATCCGAAGCATTAGAAACGATGCACCTATTCTTTGTCTCTTGCCATATGATGCTCTAAGATGGTTTCCTTTACACCTGAAATATAAGTTAAGATAAGCACTATTCTTTTCAACTTTGCCATTCTGAGACACTGTGTTATTGCTCACAGAAAACATTCTAAATCAGAGAAGACATGGTGCCAAGACGGACTGGATTCAAATTAGATCTACCTTGAATCACGGATACACTGGATACTGATCTCACAATCATCTTCATCAGCTACAGTAATTCAGGTCGACCTTTCCCTCACTGACAGGTGAACAGCATACATCCCATTTACCAGCATATAATTTATGTTAAAGTTCTTGATTATGTCCCAGGAGAATAACCTAAGCGGGGCGGTGGTGGTGGCTCATGCCTTTAATCCCAGCATTTGGGAAGCAGATCACTGTGAATTCAAGGCCAGCCTGGTGTATGCATTCTCCTATCCTCCAGCGACCCCACCCCAACTCTATGGTTTATTAGTTGATCTGTATGCATTCTTCCATCCCCAGTTATCCTACCCCAACTTTGCAG